TTCTCTGTTCAGTTGTAACCTGAAATAATAACTAGAAGTTAAAACATATGGTTCTTCTCCTCTCTAGGCTATAGCTTGAAATAATAACTAGAAGTTAAAACATATGGTTCTTATCCTCCCTAGGCTATAGCTTGAAATAATAACTAGAAGTTAAAACATATGGTTCTTCTCCTCCCTATGCTATAGCTTGAAATAATAACTAGAAGTTGAAAAGCAATTTGACAAAAATCCTTCTAATGTTGTAAAATTTATGAAAAAAAAGTTAGTATATTACAGAAGTTATGATGATATAAAATGTTAGTATATTACAGGAGTTACGATGATATAAAATGTTAGTATATTACAGGAGTTATGATGATATAAAAAGTTAATATATTACAGGAGTTATGATGATATAAAATGTTAGTATATTACAGGAGTTATAATGATATAAAAATTTAGTATATTACAGGAGTTATGATGATATAAAATGTTAGTATATTACAGAAGTTATGATGATATAAAATGTTAGTATATTACAGAAGTTATAATGATATAAAAAGTTAGTATATTACAGGAGTTATGATGATATAAAATATTAGTATATTACAGGAGTTATGATGATATAAAATGTTAGTATATTACAGGAGTTATGATGATATAAAATGTTAGTATATTACAGGAGTTATGATGATATAAAATGTTAGTATATTACAGGAGTTATGATGATATAAAATGTTAGTATATTACAGGAGTTATGATGATATAAAATGTTAGTATATTACAGGAGTTATGATGATATAAAATGTTAGTATATTACAGAAGTTATGATGATATAAAATGTTAGTATATTACAGAAGTTATGATGATATAAAAAGTTAGTATATTACAGAAGTTATGATGATATAAAATATTAGTATATTACAGAAGTTCTGAACTAGGTAGGTATCTTACTTTGACCAGAAGTCAATGATAATTAGAGATACATACAACATCCCAATCTGAATGTTTCTTTAGGTGGGGAGCTAGTGAGAAGATTACTTAATGACGACAGACCAATATTTACTGTTTACAACTTGCAAGGTATCTTTGTAATCTAGGAAAAATGTTTGACGCAAGATACAATGTTGAAGAAATTAAATATGATCTCAGATATTTCAGGTGAGGGAAGGTTAAAGCCCCAGATAAATCCATCAGTTGGTGTAATTATGATCTCAGATATTTCAGGTGAGGGAAGGTTAAAGCCCCAGATAAATCCATCAGATGGTGTAATTATGATCTCAGATATTTCAGGTGAGGGAAGGTTAAAGCCCTGGATAAATCCATCAGATGGTGTAATTATGATTTCAGATATTTCAGGTGAGGGAAGGTTAAAGCCCTGGATAAATCCATCAGATGGTGTAATTATGATCTCAGATATTTCAGGTGAGGGAAGGTTAAAGCCCTGGATAAATCCATCAGATGGTGTAATTATGATCTCAGATATTTCAGGTGAGGGAAGGTTAAAGTCCTGGATAAATCCATCAGTTGGTGTAATTACTATGCAATTTAATAAAGTATTATAGAGTAATTAGTTGTTTGGTTTCAATCAATTATTTTAAGTTTGTTTTAAACTTTGGTCAAACTTCCAAACACTTCATTATACTTTATATTTTTGTCTCCATGTTGTTACAAAGAGTTAGGCATCCTTGTCAATTAGATTCATGATTTCAATTATCTATCTAATACTTCAGAAGGTAAGGAATTCATAACTTGGATAGATTACTTCCCCCTATATCATTTCACTTCTTTGTAAATGTCGTACATCAATAGATGCTTTAAACGTTATATTTCATAAAAAATATACATTAGACCAAATTCTTAGTCAACACAGAGAAGTTCTATGTATCACAAACTGGATACCTACAGGTGCTTCGTGTAATGGGGAGTATTACACACTGGATACCTACAGGTGCTTCCTGTAATAGTGAGTATCGTACAATGGATACCTACAGGTGCTTCCTGTAATAGTGAGTATCGTACAATGGATACCTACAGGTGTTTCCTGTAATAGTGAGTATCGTACAATGGATACCTACAGGTGCTTCCTGTAATAGGGAGTATTAAACACTGGATACCTACAGGTGCTTCCTGTAATGGGGAGTATTACACACTGGATACCTACAGGTGCTTCCTGTAATAAGAAGTATTGTACACTGGATACCTACAGGTGCTTCCTGTAATGGGGAGTATTACACACTGGATACCTACAGGTGCTTCCTGTAATAGGAAGTATCACACACTGGATACCTACAGGTGCTTCCTGTAATAGGGAGTATCACACACTGGATACCTACAGGTGCTTCCTGTAATGGGGAGTATTATACACTGGATACCTACAGGTGCTTCCTGTAATAGGGAGTATTACACACTGGATACCTACAGGGGCTTCCTGTAATGGGGAGTATTACACACTGGATATTTACAGGTGCTTCCTGTAATAGAAAGTATTACACACTGGATACCTACAGGTGCTTCCTGTAATAGTGAGTATCGCACACTGGATACCTACAGGTGCTTCCTGTAATGGGGAGTATTACACACTGGATACCTACAGGTGCTTCCTGTAATGGGGAGTATTACACACTGGATAT